GATGAGGTGGCCGTTGCACATCAGAAGACGTGGCAGAACTTCTTGAGGGTCTGCATGGGGAAGGCATGCGACAAGGCGTTTGTAAAGCAAGCTCTTGAGAATGAGTACAGTAAGGACTGGAGTAATAAACTCCGAGGCTACATGAACCTCGCCACATCCAGTGTCGCAGTGTGGCCGCTGGTCGAGAGGTTCTTCGAGATGTTCAACGAAGGAAAGCTGCCAGTTGGCGATGGCAAAATCCCGCTTGACATGCCCGGGAGGATAGAAGGCCGCCTGCCAGGCCCGTACACCGACGAGACCAAGGGACAAAGAACATTGTACCATTGCATATATGCAATAGATGGTCTCAAAGGCTCCACCGTGTCGTGGAAGGATCTTTGTCCTTCCTACTTCAAAAATTTTGGGGATTTGACATGTCGTGAGAGGGAAGTTGCGTTGCTCCTGCTCATGAAGGGGAAGGTGGTCGCAACAAACGTCAAGGTCTTGCCTCCAAGAGTGAACACAGAGTGCCTCCTCGACATCATGCGAAAGGAGCGATACATGGTGCGTATGTTCAATTATGTTCTGTTCCGCGCCGAGGGAAGGGCGGACGACGAATGGAACGACGCGTTCTTCATGTCGTACAAGGACCTTGAAGACAAGTATGGGCCAAACGGTCTGTGCGCTGCTGAATGGAAGAAGGAACGGGACAAGTTACATGTCAATAAGGTGAAGATGGTCCCTCGACGACTTGGAGGAGTGGAGGAGGCAAGGCAAGGTGCGGGCTTGGGGCCTACGGCGGCAATGTATAAGGAGGCTCCGTTTCACCTTAAGGTCTTCATATACACTGCAATTGATAAGCTCGATTTGCTTCACGCCGAGGTGAAACGGATCGCCTCCAGCGCGCGTCATATTGTGTGGGACAAGATTGGCAAACAAACGACGTTGCTACCTATGTGCATGCCATCGAAGGACGTGTTGGCAGCGCCAGACGACATCGTTGCCGCAGCGCAAAAAACGACATGCAGGGCCACCATCGTGGACATCCCATCCTCAAACTTTAACACGGACCTCTCACGAATTTGATGCCTTGCACACATTGATGACCGAGTGTTGTGGCCAGAATTGGGTCCTTTTCTTCTTTGCGCCGCAGAAGGTGCAAAGCGATGTTCTGCGTCACTTGTTCCGCTGGGAGGATGTTGAAGTCATCCCCGGGACCTGGAAACGGGTGGACAGGCCACCGAACGACATCACACGATACGACAATATGGCTACGACGAGTTGAGATATGATGGTCATTGTCCTGCACGCCGACGGAGGGGATCTGAAAAAAGTAACTGTCAAACCCCGACTCCACAACGACCTCACAACCGTGCACGTTGTGGAGGAGAAGTTCGGGAAGTATCAAGGTAAACACGGTGGGATAGAGGGTGATGATAGTGCGGTGTATTCCATCTGGGAGCGAGAGCCCGAAAAGTTACGTTCGTTGTGCGGGTCATTTGTCGGAGAGGCGGAAGGTGTGCTTTTGTTGGGTAGAGCGCACGCAGGTCTTGTGTGGGAGTTATTACTGGCAGGTAATAATGTCCTTGCCTGCGACGAGTCGGCCAAGGACATTGCATATCTGACAAAGTTCGTCGATATACTTGTGAAGGATGAAAGATTCGCCTGTCATGTCAAGAAGCCACATTGCAAACATCGTAGCAACAGGGACATGTTCCACAAGTTGGGACGCACGAGACTGAAGGTGTGGGAATACCTGTTCCGCGATGCGCCGCAAGGACGGCTTGACGGGAATTACATCTACAGGAAAGCAAAGGTGACAGAGACCCTAAAACATTATCACGGTGCTCTTACTGGCGCCTTTGAGACTTTTGTTGCTCGATGCGAGATCCTGAAGTTCGATCTTCATAAAGACCAGCTGATGTCCAAGGACTACGCTGACCTCGCGAAATCGGGTGACGGCTTTAACCCCGTCGACAGCGAGGAAGACTCTTCAGGGTCCGACCTCAAATTGGGCGATGGCAAGGGTGGTGAAAGTCCGGGCGGTGGCATGGTGCGGTCACACGATGAAGGGACCGTTCGCTCGCATGAAAGACCCGTACAGGTGGCCGCCCCCTGTGTTGGCTCGATGGTGGCCCCCATGGAGGGCACCGGTTTGCCAAACATGGGAATATGTGGTCCCAATGATGAAGATGACATTGATATGCCAAGCGAGGCATCGAAGCTCGCACCAGGCGATCCAATTCCTCTCGGCTATTGTGCTGATCCGACCACAATTTATTTCTTGGGGGGCAAACACGCCCGCACTGGTGAGGACAAGTGGGGCCATGACATTGTGTGGCATGAGGGCATTTTTGGGCCCTGCATCCAAGATGGGGAGTGGAAGATGGCGGTCAAATACACACGCGGATGGCAGATGTTTCGCCGGATGTCAAAGGACACTTGGCTGGAAATGACGGAACTCACGATTATGTACCTAGTGCAAAAGGAGAATCCAGGGAAGAGCGAGGGTGCTGTCAAACACAAGGCCAAAGAATTGTTTTCTTTATTGCGAGACAATCAGCAGTTGGAGTACAGTTGGAAATTTTACGCCCTGCGAACGAGTCCCTCATGTGGGTCAATCGACTGGAAGGTCAATCAAACTATCGGAACCATGGAGGAGAGCAGCTCTTAGGATGCCGTGCCTTTGTCGGCATCGCCCCCCGTACCCASGCAGGCAGGGCAGAGGGAGGATGACGGGAGTAATGTGGTAAAGACTCAAGAGGTTCACATGACGTCTATGCCGCAAATCTTCATCGACACGACAGAACCGTCCAAACGCATGGATGTGTCAAATGCATTGTCGTCAGATGCAAGTGCCACGTACGGGAGTTTATTACTGACATCCGCCGCATTAGAAGGCGCATCCGAAATGCAGTTAGAGTCAGGTATTGGCCTGAGCGTGCCGGACAGTCAGTTGCAACCGGAGTTATGCACAGGCAAAGGTGATGCACAAGGACATTTGACACCACAGGGAGGGGCCGCTGCGGATGGTGGGAAGGGAGAGGATGTGGCGGGAATCCTCCATCCTCGCAATCTTGAGACCTTAACCGATGATTTCGACTATGGGAGTGAGGGTGGAAATGACGTGGTCAATACGAGGGGAGTGTGAAATGATCGGTGAGGCGGGACGGGGGCAACGGAGAGGGAGAAACCAGCGATATGATTACAATGTTATTCTTTTCTTTGTTAATTGAAATCGCACAATTGACTCGTTTGTTTTTAGTTTCAAATGGAACTAGTATTAGTCTTCGTAGGCACTACGACCACCTGATTTTCTTTTCTGTATATATATATTTTTTCTCAATATTACGTTCGACCTAAGATGTTTAGGATACTTGCCATTTTCGAAGTGGATGTGTATATGTGGATGTATTCGGACTTGGATCTCTCTCTCTCTCTCTCTCTCTCTCTCTCTCTCTCTCTCTCTCTCTCTCTCTCTCTCTCTCCGACTTGGATGTGTGTATGCGGACGTATGCAATGAGAGTGGCCAAGGTGTGAGGAATAAATGATTGATTGTATACGTGAATGTGGTAAATGCAAGTAAGAGATTAGAGAAACATTGAAAACATGCGTTGCTTGCATTAGCTCCCACAAAGCATTTGGCCATGCACTCACCATCCTTTCCCCATCCGCCCGCGTGAATGTCGTATTCCTCATGTTTGTGGTGTGCAGTGCAAATTACATCGATTGATACAAGATTGTACAAAAGAGGATGGACAATGCATCTCGCAACTTCGTCTTTATCAAAGAGGGAGACGGCAGCCTTGACGCGTGTCATCCGCGAATACAGGAAGAGGTATCCCATAGCCACCACACACGACGTATACATGAACGAGGTATTGCAACTCACTCGCAACGATTTCCTTTTACTCGTTGTAGAACGTCAGTGGTTAAACGACAATGTCATAAACTTTTACCTCAATCTCATAGCATTGGACAACTGGTGTAGAATACAACACGTAGAATGCGACGCGGAGAATGAGATAGTTATTAGAGAAGGAAAGGGTCGCATTCCTAGAGTATCGGTGCTCAGCTCATTTTTGTTCGTCAAACTTTTCGACAATGAAATGAGATATAGAGGTCGAGAGGTAGAGCGCTGGTGTCAGGACGTTATCATAAGTGACATGGACTTGATTATTGCTCCTTTCCATATCCAACACAAGAACCACTGGACCCTTGTTGTGGCTGACTTCATGAGGAGGAAATTCGAATTTTAGGACTCCCTCGACCCCGACATGGGGTTGGCGAGAAAGGTGACCGCCGGGTTTGCAAAGTTTATATTCGAAAGATCGAAATCACAAGGCAAAGAGGTGGACACGAAACCATTCAATCACATATTGAATGTAGAGGGCATTCCGAAGCAACACGACACGAACGAGTGCGGGGTCTTTGTGCTAACGTACGCATCACTGTTGGCACGGGGCCAACTTCCACCTTTCTTTTTCACTGCTGATGATATACCCGCGATACGTCGTCGAATGGCTTTGGACACAGTGGCTCGTGAGTAGTGTGTATATCATAATCCGTAATATGATTTGGAGGGGGGGCGGATGCCACAAGATGGTTTGTGACAAAAACAATGTATATAAGGTGTCAAATATTACTTGATACGCTGTGCCACTTGACCCTTGCAATTTACCACATATCCCTTACACCTCACCCCTTACACCTTACCCCGTTCACCTCACACCTTGCCCCTTATACCTTACCCCTCACCTCTTACACCTTACACCTTACACCTTACCCCGTACCCCATACACCAAACATCTCTTTGTAATGGTTTTTCACCTAAATCAACACAAAAATGACAATTTCAATTTCGTTCAAAAAATATAAAATGTCCGTTTTGACGAAATCGTTGTTTATGGCCAAAGAAGATAGAAGTAGTAGTGCAACTTGTTTGTGTATATCTTAAGGCACAATGAACATTGTTTCCAAGCCGAATGGTCTAGCATTGTGCGATATGTAAGTTGGGTATAAGGATTGAATCATCTGAGGGTTTTATGAATTATCTTATATGAAATGACTTGGGGTAGGTGAGGGAACTAACCTTTGTGGTTTGGCTTACATGTGGCTGAGTGAGATGACTGCCTAGTTTGAGTCTTAGTTTGATAGGTAGTTGTTTTAGTTGCTCGCCACGTGCTAGAGCGATAGAAATTAGTTTCAATTGCTGTATTTTCTAAGTTAACTTTTTTTGCTTAGGTCAATTCTCGCATTTTCTGGGATCATTTCTTTATATACTTGACTTTGTATAAATCTTGGCAAACTATTTTTCTCTACGCGAAGCGCTGCCAAATGTTTCTGCAAATCCAAGGAGTTAATCATATTTTGACTTTTCAAGGTTCAACTTGGCTAATTTTTATAGATGATTTAGTAAAAGGCTATCAATCTCGTTCCGTTTTGGACATTCCCAAGCATGCGTGTCCAACGGTCTCCGTGTGTCGGAGGGCGGCGGGACCGTAATTTGTCCCGACTCGTATCGCAGATGGAGATTTTATCATTCATCTCGAGATCGGTCGTGCTAAGTCCATTCGGGGTTGCGGGTCAGCCTCATGGGTGCACGTGTCAGTCGCGCTCGTCAGATTGCACTTATACACGGACTCGCTGGGTTGGTCCGCTGTGGACTAGCTTTCCAGTCCGGGCGCCCGTGCCACCCCAGGTCGCCTGGAAGGGCGCTCAGGGCGCCTGGCCGTGCGACCGCCCTGGCCAGGCACCTAGGCCCCCACAGAGCCGCCCCCCAAATCGCTTCAAAAACAAATTTCCACGCCGTGGGCTGAAGGTCCACAGGAAAAAAAAAATTATGCCGGCGGCCGCAATTTTTTTTGGGGTTCGATGGCCCTATTTCGTTGTTGTTTTTTTTTTGTACGTGGGTCGTCGATCTGCATTGATCGATGAAGCGAAAGTCCCAAGATTTTGAATTCGAATCTTGGAACTCCAGGCGCAGCCGTGTGCCCTCCGCCCTTCCCCCCCTCGCCAGGTCGTTTCCCTGCCGCAATCGACCGCGCCGCTGTCGCCCTGCCGTGGTCGCCATCGTCATCCTTGCCGAACTGAGTTGTCGTTGTCACCCTGCCACCCTCAGGTCGCGCCATCATCGCCGTTGTCAAGCCGCGCCATGCTCCTCGCCCCCGAGGAAGAGTGCTTGCGCCGCCATCGCCCACTCAGGTAAGTTTTTTTTGTTTTCTTCTTCTTTTTGTTTTTCTTCTTTTTGTTATTGTTCTTCTTCTTCTTCTTCTTCTTCTTTTCTTCTTCTTCGTTTCGTTTCATTCTTCTTCCTCTTCTTCTTCTCCTCCATTTCGTCGTGTTCATTTCTTTCTTCGTCATTTCTTCGTCTTCTTTTTTTTCTTCTTTGTCGTTTCTTCTTCTTCTATTCTTCTTATTCTTCATCGTCTCTTCTTAAAGTTTCCCTTCTTCTCCATGATCTTCCTCTTCCTCTTCTCCTTACTCTATTCAGTTCGTCTTGGATGTCATAGTCTTCTTCTTCTTCTTTCTTTCTTCTTCTTCATTAAACTTGTGCTCCTAGTAGGCTCCTACCTCCTCCTACCTCCTCCTACCTCCTCCTACCT